TTTGCCATCAAATGACATCACGAAATACCGGTTATAACCAGAGCCAATACGTTCCTTACTGACATCAAATCCTTGAGATATGAATCAATAGGATATGATTGATAGGGTACGAAGCCCTCTGTTAGCTAAGGTGAATTCAAATTTGTTCCCTTAAGCAAATACTCACCCCAGGTCTACAAGGTACCCTTGGACGAAGCAACCCATGGCTGCCGATAAGGATCCTTCTGTCAGGTTGGGTCGACTATCTCCTTTGACTAAGTAGACCAGGGACCATGATGGCTCGGGACGACTGAACCATGGGATCTTAATTGGGTCCATCATCCATTCCCCCACCATCTTCTTTAAGTGTAAGATGATGAAATTTCCAGTTTTAAATATAAACCCTTTTCAAATACCAATGCCCAACGCTGCTACTATATGCCAGATAACACATATTCTTTATGTATTTGATCGACGACTAGCCTTAATTGAAAGTTCTCTCTCGTTACTGGGAGGGGTAATTAACTATAGGGGCTTGCGCCTATAGGAAACCAGAACTCAGATCATAAAGTCCTCGCAAAATGAGGGCGAAATCTCTGGGTAGTGTCTTATCTACAAACTCATATGCCTTCCAAAATTTACCCCATAACTTAATTCTGTTAAAACTCCCCTCGCCAAAGAAAAACACAATGCGGGCGGAGGCCGGGGCCGAATTTTCGGAGCCCACATCTTTGCAATCTAAACGATATATTTTTCTTATAAGAAAATAATCAATCCATGTTTTATTATATCCATTTTTATAAGTGATGAGATGATTATCTCTTTTCTTAAACAAGGTATTAGCAATTACAAAATTATAAGATAAAGAGAAAAATAATATGACCTTATCATCTTCATTAATCGCTCCAAACCTATAGCCACCATGAATGTTTTTAAAATCATCTCCTTCTCTAACAACATATCCATTTAAATCTCCTCTAATAAAAATGTTTTTTTGAGAGTTATATTTTGTTATAATTCTCTTAGGTCATTCCAAAATTTTAATTTTGAACTCATATCCAAACGTACTTGAGAAGTATAAGCACTTATAATATTAATAATCTTAGCATCAATAACAATCTTTAAAATTATAATTATAACTCTAATTCTATTAATTTTTACAACATTATCCTTTAAACTCTTATCTATAATCACATCTAGACCATTTTTAGTACTATTACCAATATACCATAGTTTAAAAACTATCAATCTTCTTAGCCTTCTCTCAACCCTATTTAGAATTAAATTAGAGAAATATAATACTCTCACTAAATTGGCAACATACAGTCAATTTAGATTTTCTTGCATATATTCAATCTTAACCTTTGGTTTCTATCCGCATAAAGCACCTGTTGCTTAAGATTTTATTGCTAACTTATTATTAATACTAATATTTATATCCGGACAATAAGATTTTATAAAATCGATATAAAATTAAATGTTAATGTTTTGAATATCAAACAAAACGCAGATACTATCCGTTGTAATGCATCCTCAAACTTTTAAACACATTTTTTATAATATCTGATTTTTATTAACCTTACATTAACACAATCATCTTGAATTTAATTTATGAAACATAATATTTTAATTTTAATAAAAAAAGTTTGATTTCTGATCGCCTTCCAACAATGCAAAAAACGAATGCTATGATCTATAAGCTTTTCAATTTAGTACAATTGGACGTTTGAACAACATCAAAACTTAAAATTTAAATTTTAATCAATAACCAAATACTATATATTACTTGATAATTTAATTTCTAATTTTCTTCTATTGTTATCACTTAGAGGTAATGTGTGTGAGTTTGTCTTAATTGCTCTAAATTATTTTAGTTTATATTCTTCATTTATCGTCACTGTTTACTGCCGTAAATAATATTAACCTTTGAATTTTTTTTTTATATTAATTTTTAAGTTATTTTTAATTTTTATAAAGTAGTTCATATAGACTTATAATTTAGATGTTTTTTAGTTGTTATATATCCAAAGGAATATCAGTTTTCCATATTAATTTATCAATCATATTGATTTTTGATATTAATGCTTTAGTTATTTATTATTTGCAAACCAACTTGTACATATCCGTTGATTATGATATTTAAGGAGCTTACATATTTGTTTAAGGAAAATAAATTTTTTATTGCACGTACTTCTTCATATGTTTGAAGTTTATTCTTTATATTTCTTACATCTAATGCAGTTCACATTTATTATGTAATTACATAATTACTAGCCTATGGAGGAATCCAATTAAGTCCTTTAGATTATCTTATTGAGGTTCTATTTTCACGGTAATGTCTTTAATCCTTATATTAAAGACATAATATATAACAAAATATATCATGTAATAATAAACATAACTACGAAGAGCTATTTTATTCGTGCCTCAGATTTATTTTATGTGAATAATTTGGAGTTAATGACTTTATTCCTTATATTTTTTACATCTAATGCATTTCACATTTATTTGTAAATTATTTTCAGATCCTACTTAGCTTATCACATAATTACACAATCATAAATATATGGATGCATCGATTTCTCTCTTAGTATTGAGCAATCTAAGTCCTATAGAATAGGTAACTGAAGTTTTTTTTTTTTTTTTTTTTTTTTTTTTTATAGGTTACTGAAGTTATATTATCACATTAATGTCTTTATTTCCTCAAATAATCATTACATTAATCTTGGATGGAACATTTTTTTTCCCTACTTCTTCAGTGCCTAATTAATTTATTTAGCTTGTCCATGTCTTCTTATAATAGATATGAATTTCTAAAAAAGTTTACTCAACAAAATTACTGCAATGTATATATTTCTCATTTGTCTTTCTATTATATTTCTCTAATGAATATTTTTTCTTTTCTTGGAAAATTTTGTCTTTGTCACCTTTTATTATACATCGTACATAACATTCTTAATTAAGGTTTCATTTGGGATGACTTTCTTAGTACTTTTTAAAGTAAATTTTTAACATACAAATTATCCGTTAAATGCAATTAAGATGAATTTCATAAGTTAGGTCAGTTTAACATCTCTTTTTTTAACTCTTAAATTATTTTTTTCCTAAAATCTTAATTAAGTAGTTTATTTATTCTCATAATTCTTATCTAAAAATAAAAATAAATTAACAATATAATTATTCTATCTGCCTATTAATTAACTTTAATTTTAATTTTTTATAAATTAAAAATATTAATAAATAAGTAATAACTTGCTACTGCAACATTAAAATCATAATCATTTACTAAATATTTTTAATATATTTTTTTAAAAACAATCTTCAAATTGTTCTTTTAGGTCAGTCTTTCAATCTACAATATAATCTTTAAATTTATTTATAATTTTTTTTAATGTAAATATTAGATAACAAACTTGATGTTTACTGTACTCAATCATATTTGTTTTGGTTTTACAAGATTTTCGTATGGTGTACAAAAAATTATTAATTAATTGAATTTGTTGAAATGCACAATATTATGTGATCTGTTTTAAGTAATTGAAATGACTTTCATATGCATGTTAGATTGCTCTAACTTCTTTTGATTGAACTCTTAAATATGTGTTTCTACAATTATAATTTTTAATATATGATTGTAATATAACTACTTGATCTCCTTCTTATTATACCGGAATTATTTTTTTATCAAGAATAACAAAATATATTGACATGAAATAAATTATAATTAATCATGAAAATATAAAAATCATAACTATTAATTTAAATTTTTAACATTTCTAGCTACATACCCTTTGTGCATGGGCTATTAATCTTTTATGTGTGTGTATATTGCATACGTTTGGAAGTGACTATGACTTCTAATTTATTTGCAGAGAATTTGGAGCTCATGAGGGTGAGGTAAAATAATTAAAAGTCTTATGTACTATTATATTAGGTAGACAAAGTGACCCCACTTTTCACCACTTCCCACTTGCTTATGTCTAAACAAACAAATCCTAAGCTAATAACTGAAATAATCTAAGGCTTCATTTCGAAAGTTTTTTATTGCTTTCAAAAGCAGCTTTGTAGTACAAAAAATTTTTAGTCTAAAAAATTTTTGCACGAAAAATTTATTTTAAGAAGCAATAAAAAGCTGTCTCAAACGAAGCCTAAATCATTTTGGAAGACAACTTAGTGCATGGATCAAAGTAACTTACATTTACTCACCACAAGATTGAACTATCTATATGGCAATTTTGAATGGACTAAAAGCATAATGGTTCTCTTCATCTCTGGTTGATAAAGAGGCCAGCCTTTGATCTAACTAGACACTAGGCTTATAAACCTTTGGTTCAAAATATATACCATTATATACTTGTCTGTGTTCAAATTTACATGCCCATGTAAGTTATTTTGTATGTTTGTTAGGTTTTCATAAGGATATGATGGTATCACTTGTAACAAGCTTTGAGTGATTTTTGAACTTTTGAGCGTGATTTTTAGTGGCTAGAAATCTTTTATATTGCTTCATGGGGTTGGATTTGTTATTCAGAAAAAAAAAAAAAAAATCATCCCACTTCCCAGTTTTGCTCACCTCCAACAAAATAATCATTGATCTATAGCTGCAATACTTTAAAATCATTTTTAAGAATTTTATAGAATGTGCTTAAGCCAAGCAACTTGCATTTTCATATGTGGTTAACCATTCTAGAAGAATTTCTCTTTTCATTTCTAGTTGATAATGAGGTCAACCTTTGATCCAACCACAGCTGTAGCAGTAGTAATAAGAGCAAAAGAGGTTGCCCCGAGCAATATTTTTCAATATTTTTTCATCTAGTGAGTCATCATTATTTTGCTTGTGCAGATTGAAAGTTTTAATTCATATTAGATTGGTCTACTGCTTTTTAATTATGTCTAAAGTTTACTTGATTAATTGTCTTGTGTCTGCATATAAGAGTTTAAATAATATCAGTCTGCATCTTGATAAAACAATTCAATGTTTTCCATGACAATGATGTAACAATTCCTTTTTTTTTTTAAAGGTTTTGGGCACATTTAACCATGGCTTATGTCTTTACCTTTTGGACATGCTATACATTATACAAAGAATATAAGCTTATAACATCGATGAGATTGCGTTTTCTTGCATCTCAAAGTCGCCGTCCAGATCAATTCACTGTGAGTTCTCTATTCATAACTTTGTTGACTGCATATGGGTTTATTGTATTGGCATGTCTTCTATTGTTTTATTTAAACATTGGATGATATGATTGATTTATATGGGGAAACTTTTGTTTTATCTACTATGACACAATTTTATTTACGCACATGCATTCACGTTAATTAATTTTAAATAGAGGAATATATGACCGTGGGAATACTAATAAATTATCATTCAATGTTAGTGGATGATTTAGTGATTCTTAAGTGTGGTTAGCCTAAGCATAATGAATTTGTTAAATAGAAAAATTGGAATATAGATGAGTATAAGCTTTTGGAGTTAAGATTAGTTGGTTAAAATAGAGAAGTATGGGAGTATTATCATATGGGAGAATGTCATGTAGACTAATGGGCTGTTTGGTTGCTTTAAAAGAAATGCAATGTAAAATAAATGCAGTATAAAATGAATGTAATGTAAAAGGAATATTTTGTAGTTATTTGGATGGAATGCATGACTTTACTTTTTCTTATTTAGTTTGAAGTAAAATGAATGCTATGTAAAGTGTAAAATAGTTGTGCTTGGAGTGGCCGACAGTGGGTGGTGGCCGGCTGCTGGCGGCCGGCGGTGGTGGCTAGTGGATGATGTTGCTACGACCTTGAAAAAGCTTTTAGATTAATTTTGTCATAATATAAGAGTTGTAAAGGTGTATAGATAATTTGCTTTAGGAGTTTCAAATATTAAGACGAAAGAATTATCATTCAAAAGCTTTGTGTTGTGAAACCTTCAACATAAACCTTTGGGGGTATATGAAAAGTTTCACAATGATTTGAAATTTCATTAAATTAATTAAATTCACTTATGTGCATATTTTAAAACTTACCATGAGCTAGCTTTTACAACATATATCAATTTTATCATGATACATGACTAAAGCTAGAAGAAATGCAACTCATATCACTCGAAGCCTAAACATCGGCATTTGGTTTGGAATTAAACGACAACACCTAACTTAGGGCTTGATTGTAGGTAGGCACATTGTCTAATAACCCGGTACTTCATTGCCTCTCTCTTTGGACTCTCACATGAGAGCAAGTTGTGAAAAATTATAGAGTTCCACAATTTTATGAAGAGGACAGTGAATGCATGAATTTTCTAAGAGCAAAAATGAAAATTCTATAAAGTCCTATGGATTTGGGAGGCATTATGATTGATGGGCCTAGGAATTTCTAGTGGAAGGTAGCTTCCACTAGCTTCTGGTGGTTACGGCCGTAGCCCTTTAATGGTCGTCGCTACGAACTAGCTGGTCAGTATATGAGGAGGAAGAAATGTCTTGAGTTGTTGAGCAGTGGAGAATATTGCTGATTTTTGTTATTGATTCAGCTAGCAGCCCTTCTGCTCCTCTTAGTCACCGAGCTCTCCAAATATTGTGCACTATAGGCTCTTGATTTATTTACCCTAGGTCACTGTCTCGTCTGAGATATGCATGAGAGAAGCCGTATGTACAGCAACAAGGGTCTCAAGCGCTCGGTCTTTTGTAGGGCAAATTATTAGGTCCGATCACCGGACCTAAAAATAGGTCCGGACATCCAATGAAAACTTATCACTTGGATTGCGCTTTGACTGCGCTTTAGGTGCGTTTTTTACTGTGCTTTTTGACTGCGCTTTACCTGCGCTTTACCTACGCTTTTGACACGCTTGACTTAAAATTCCTCAAACATGTGTACATTCCACATGTCAATATTTTACTGGTGTCCGTACGTATCTCTACGTCCGGTGACTGGACCTAATAATTTGCCCTCTTGAAGGCCTACGCAAGGGAAAAATTATTAAGTCCGGTCAGCGGACCTATTTCTAGGCCCGGACATCCACTAAAAATTCGCCACGTGGAATGTACACGTGTAAGAGAAAATTTAAGTCAAGCGCATCAAAAGCGTAGGTAAAAGGCAGGTAAAGTACAGGTAAAGCGCAGTAAAAAATCGCAGTCAAAAGCACACCTAAAGCGCAGTCAATACCTAATTATTTATATAGTATCCCAATCTATAAATCACATTAAAAATGCTACAAATTAACTTCTAAAGTAAAATTCACCTTTAAATGTTTATGATTGATTTGATGTGATTTAAACACTAGGATATTATTTGAACATTACATAGACTTAGATGTTACCTATGTAAATATATAAAAATTTTGTGTTATGTATATAAACCCCCCATCATTTTATTTCTCATATAGATAAATCTTATATCTTTCGTACTTATCATATGATGAAAATAATGTAACATGAAAAATATAATACGGAGCTTAAGCATCATAAAGTTTATTGTAAAAGCTACTATAATATCAAAATAACTATGAATTATTAAAATAAATGAGCTCTAGTTTAACCAATATGCTCCCAAGCCTCTAGGATACAGATCATAAGCTTGAGTTCAGTTTGTGATCATTAAATTAAATGTTAACTAACTTTGTGTGTAGAATTTAGTTTGTAACTAGCACGTGTCCTTTTTTATAGCTGGCTTCATGCATACTTATCTTTATCTAGTCTTGTACCCGACTTTTAATTACTAAAATATTTGAGATAGTTTTCTTCTCTTTAAAAAAGAACTTATGATAGTTACACCTGTAAATATGCCAAGTCTAGAGAACTACACAAGATTTAAGGGAATTTTTATCTATGAAAGCTTTTTTGGAATATTCAACCAATAAGCAAACTTCCACTAAACGGGGAGATCCTTCAAGAACAACGCAGTTTGAGCTAAACGGGGAGGTCCTTCAAGAACAACACAGTTTGAGTTCATTATTCCGGACTTGGTAGAGATATTGAACTTCAAACTTTTTTTGAGATTGGTTTATAAGTCATATTTCTTTGTTTTTGGAACTATTTGTTGAACTTTATTTTGTTTTAATAAATACAAAAATAGTGATTAATGGACATCCTTATTTTTAGGCAGATAGGACTGGCCACTTGTGTTCAGAATTTCTTCTGGATGCTTCTTGAAGAGCTTAAGAAATATATTAATTGTGCAAATAATGACGCTCTAGTTCATTGTGATCATTAAAAAGAGCAATCGCTTTTTTTTTTTTTTGCTTAGGCATGATTTTTTGGCACAGTAAGACATGTCGAGCTATTTGATTCATTTTCAATTTTAATCAAAATTTAGTTTTACTTATTTGTTTTGTTTTTTCTTTTGCGAGGGGAGTTTTAATGGAATTAAGTTCCGGGGTAAATTTTGGAAGGCAGATGTGTTTGTAGATAAGACACTACCCAGAGATTTCGCCCTCATTTTGCGAGGACTTTATGATCTGAGTTCTGGTTTCCTATAGGCGCAAGCCCCTATAATTAATTACCCTTCCCAATAATGAGAGAGAACTTTCGATTAAGGCTAGTAGTCAATCAGATACATATAATATACGTGTTATCTGGCATATAGTAGAAGCATTGGGTATTGAGATTTGAAAAGTTTGGAGATTTGGAAAATTGATATTTAAAATAGAAATTACACCATCTTGCACTTTAAAGAGGATGGTAGGGGAATGGATGATGGACCCGATCAAGATCCCATGGTTCCGTCATCCCGAGTCATTGTGGTCCCTGATCTACTTAGTCAGAGGAGGTAGTCGACCCAACCTGACAGAAGGATCCTTGTCGGCAGCCATGGGTTGCTTCGTCCAAGGGTATCTTGTAGACCTGAGATGAATGTTTGTCTAAGGTGACAAATTTGAATCAATCTTAGCTAGCAGAGGGCTTTGTGCCCTATCGATCATATTCTATTGATTCATATCTCAAGGATTTGATGCCACTAAAGAGCGTATTGGCTCTTGCCATAACCGCTATCTGTGGTGCCATTTAGCGGCAAAACCACTCGATTCAGAGGGCCCCGGGTTATAATCGTTTATCCTACGGTGCCATTTGACGGCAAAACTGCCGGTTAGAGAACACATACCACGTCCTTACTGGCAGGAGATTGTTTGAGAATGGATCATAGTGATATTTTCGACTAGGCATTAGCTCTATGCGAGCCGAAGTTATATTTGAATCTATCCACCTCGGCAAACTGTTGCGGAGGGTGGATGGATTTTTCTTTGAGTGATTGATGGACAATTTCGAATTTAAATATCTTTGAATTTGAGATTTGTTAGGTTTTAGACTTTGTGGAGTTTTGGATTTTGAGTGGACTTTTGGGAGGTATTTGAAAAAAGCCTGAAATTAACTCCTCCAGTTGAGATCTTCAATCAACACGGTCATTATCGGGGTGTTTGGGTCATTTTCATTTGATTGAACCCTGTCAACCCTATCAACTAGTCGATAGGGATTGGGTTTCATAGGCTTTGTGCCATTGTTTGTGAATTTTCTTTGTTAAAGGCCTTGAAGGCCTGATATGAATGTATAAAATAAATAATCCGGTAACTTCGTGACCTCATATTTACCCGATGATTCAAACACTGTCTACTCCTATTTATCTGCTTAGGAGGACCGAGCTTCGTATGCTTTGTGCCTTTTGTTAGTGAGTTCTCATTGTTATAGGCCTTGACAGCCTAATATGAATGCTATAAAACAAATATACGATCGCGATATAGCGATCGTTGCGATCGTATATTTGTTTGTTGGTTCGAACCTTGTCGACTCATATTAATCCGTATAGAAGGATCGGGTTCGAATTTGAATTCACTTATCGACCCGCGCAACCTCCCTAGACGTCATGTGTATCAATAACACGCTCGCCAGGGCTTATGCAGGTTATAATTGTATTTACGCCTTTTGTGTACCTATGTGTATACAAATTACAGTACATGTGCAGGGGTACATTGAAATAATTATAATTGTGTAGGTAATCGCCATTTGAGTACACACAATATTTCATTTAAGAGCTTATACATGCCTTTTGTCCGCTAGTACGAGTGTTGTGGATCCGATGGAGGCTTTATCTGGATGTCATGAGGCGTCCCCTCATTATCTTGATGTTGACTCCCCTTTCTCGTTCACCGGGGAGGTTCTTTTTGAAGCTTATAACCGTTGAAATGGACTCTTTCAAGCTCTTTAGTGTAGTAGACTTGTTACTTCTGGTATTTGTGAATACCAGAGTCGTTTCCTTCCTAAGGTTAGAACCAAGAATAATCTTTGAAATATCAGGAAGTTTAGTTCGAATTTGCTCAAACATCTCCTCCATTATGTTAGGAGGTGTCCTTTTCCATACATCGGGTCGCCTTCATTCTCGACATACTAGCAGCATCTCAATCACCGCTGCCGCAGATGACATTTGTACTTATGTCCACAGTGGTTTGTTGTGCCTACTACATACTCACTGTTGTTATCCACAAGTATTCATTTGTAGTGACCCATTATATCCACTACGACCTCCTGGGAATGTTTGTAGAAGAGCAATTATTCATGTATCATACCCACCTTTCATCAATCTCAGGTGGGTTTGATTGTATTTGCTTGTAGAGGCGGGTAAATCACCCATTATCGATTGACAGTGTTGCCATCTTCAATCAACAGGCATTTGTAGGGATTGTCGTAAGAGTTTATGCATTGAGGTTTTGTAACGTACTTTGAGTCACTATTGACCGTATGAATGCTCTTGTAATCTAAACTCCTTCGCACATGATTCAAGTTGTCCTTTGTATATGTTTGAGTCCGAGTTAAGTTTCATGTAGACTCGGATTCATCGAGTCTACAACTCCCACTTAATGTTGTATAGGATGGGTTCAAGTGCGAGTTCAAGCTCTTTGTCCGGCTTAAATGCAAGATCGAATCTCTTCTTGTTCTTGAAGGTTCAGGTTCTTTATCGCTCATGTCGAGTTTGAACCCAACTTGAGCTTAATGTACAAGTTCACTTGCAAGTTGACTGTCTTTGATAACAAGATTTTCGTCATTTGATTCAAGTTTAGGACATCTATAAGTCTGTTTGTTGATTTATTTTGTTTGAGTCTAAATGCTTGTTCAAGCTCAGATCTAGTCCAAATCGAAGTCTTTGTTTGATGTTTTAGTCTTGTTCAAGTCCCCTGCAGTCCTTTGAGTTCAATTGCATGTTCCCTTTTTGTTCAGTCTTATGGAATCTTTGCAGGTTCATTTTTAAGCTCAAATTGATTTGAATTTGACTTCAATTTGATTTTGTTTTATTTGGATTTGACATTTTAGAAATTATTTAAGTTTTTATTCAGATTTAGGTCCATCAGTCCACTGCTCTTTTGAGTCCAAATTCTTATTCTTTTTTAGTTCAAACAGGTCCGAGAACAGTATGTTTTCACACAAAATTTCGGGAACCTCCCGGCGTCTCTCCCGTTTAGGAAAAAACTACAGAAAACTAGGCCTTTCCCACCACGCGCAAAAAAAACGTGCATGGTAGGTGGACACCGCGGCCGTGTAAAGTCTTTATCCCCACCACACCAAGAAAGGCGTACATGGATCTTCAGTACCTGTTACAAGAAAAAAACAGTTGTTTCCCCATAGGTACAGAGCCGCGTATGGGTACTTAAGAGTTATCCCAGTCACGCTAAGAAAAGCATGCACCAGGCTTACCTGGCCTCGTCGTGCGCGTCGCATCGGGTTAGTTCCTACCATGCTTAATAAAGGCGTGCATAGGTGGTTTGCCAGCTCGTCAGACACAACGAGGATAGGGTTTTGGGGGCCGAGAGGTCGCTCGCTTACATCGTCATAGATGTCGCATCGGGTTCCCTCCTACCACGCTCAATAAAGACATGCATATGTGGTTTGCCGGCCCGACACGCATGTCGAGGTAAGAGAGGCATTTTCATTAATATTATTATTTTTAATTAATTATGAATAATAATAATAATTATTAATTAATTAGAATTAATTATTATTTAATTTAATTAATTAAAATTAATATACTAATTATAATTAGTATTTAATTAATCATGTATTTAATCATGATTAATTAATATTAATTATAGTTATCAATTAATTGTAATTAAATTTAATTAACTGTTAGTAATGATAAATCTTCCCTCTACCTCCTCTCTGTTGGGTGGATTGATGGGATTTGGCCGAGTAGCGCTCGTTAGTGAGAGGTAGATAGTCACCTTCACAGTAAGCAAGTTCCCGTGCTTGTTTCCGATCAAATGCCGCAACTTCCGATCCGACTGGAAGGGACAGCGTCGGAGGAGCGAAGCCGTCCAGCCGCGAATGGTGCCGGGGAAGAGAGCTCCGCTTCTTGCTTATGGTAAAAAAATACGTAACTTTCGATCCTTCAGGAACAATCGTCGAAGGAGCGAAGTCAACCAGCGACCAAGGAGGCGAGGAAGCGCGTTGGAAGGGAGAAAGTTAACTTCACAGCGAGCGATCTCACTTGTTGTTTCCGATTGTAATGTCGTAACTCCCGCTCCGATTGGGAAGGGAAGTCGTCGGAGCAGCGAAGTCGCACGACCACGAGAGGAGCCGAAGCAGCTCGCGGCAGAGAGAAATGAGAGAGAGAGAGCGATCGAGGAATAGAGAATGAGAAAAAGAGCGGAGAAGAGGCCGAGAGCCTCGTGGCTTTGGGCTTTTAACGACTTGAACGAGTCGTGCGAGCGATCTGGGGAGAAACGACACGAGGCATGGCCTCGGCGTGCGACGACGTGCGATGTGGGAGAGGCAGAGAGCAGGTAAGCAATTTTTTTTTTCTTTTTTTGTTTTCGGCGTGGCAGACGGGTCAACACATATATGCCAACTTTATCCTCCCATAATGTTCAATATGTAATTAAATGTCATTTGGAAAAATCTATTTCAGTCAAATTAGTCTTTTGATGTCTAAATGTATTAGGCAACCAAGTTTATCTATTGACTGGTGTTATCATGTGTATGCGCCTTTTTCCTCCTGTATTTTGCACATTAATTCCATCTTTATTGTTGCCTCTTTACTCTGTATTGTACATGCTCTGATATATGAAGTCTATAATTTTATGTTCAATAGTTGCATTTCCAAACCTTTCTCTAATAAATTATTCCAAAATTTGAACATGACTAGACATCTATCTTAGTATTCTCGCTCAACATTTTTTTATAGTGATTAGATTTTTTTTTAAATGCTTGTCACAATACCTATTTCTACTTGGCCTTGAGTCCAGAGAGAAAGACAAATTAAGAAAAAAAGAATAGTTCACTCTTCACTCGCAAGATATCAACCTGGAACTAAAAGCAGTGCTAAGTGCATGCTTTGAAGCATGCATGCAACATTGCACGTGTTGTCCTTGGGTTTTTTTTATCTGTAGCAAGTGTTGCAGCATAATAGCATGATTGATACTTGAAATATGATGTCAGCATAGTACTTAACCAAAATTTTTTGTATGTTTTTTAACAAGCATTTTCTGGGAAGATTTGGAAAATATTCTCGTGAATAATGGTGTTTGAACTTCAAAAATATGCCTACTTATTTATTATTTATATTCTTGCCTTCGCTGGGCATAACCATACATGATCTACGAATTTATGCCATTTAGAAATGACTAAATCAAACTTTTGAATGAAGATGGTATCCAGGTCAAGGCACGGGTAGAATTTTTTTAATCTTTGTTATATTATGAACCAAAAATTCTTACCAAAATCAGCCTTTACATATGTGTAGTCACGAAACAGTTCAACTGGTTTAAATGTTGCTAATTCACCATATAGTTTTCTTTATTTCATTCCATCGTTCTGTAAACTGATGCATTAACTGTTAATATATAAATTACCTTATAGTATTGTGGGCATTGAATAATGGTTAAATTGGTTGTGGTTGAGTCATTATGATAATTGAGTTTTGAACTCATAAATTTATCCATTATTTATTATTCTAATCAATTTTATGTATGTTTGGGGAAAAAATGCTAAATCTTCTTGTGGTTAAACCATTATGATAGTATAGCTTTGAATTCATAACTTTATCCATCGTTCAGTATTCTAATTCATTTTATGGATGCCCGAAAAAAAAATAAAAGGAATAGAAAACAAAAGAAAGTCTTAGCGTGCAAGAAATAACTAGATGCAATTGAGAATTTGGCAACAAGCATGGTCAGACGATCAAAATACATGGTGAAGTTATATGGACTTAAGCTGTAGAAAAAACATGTAGATGAAGTGCAGATCTAATGTTATAACTGAGCTCGAGGAAGCAAATTTGAGAGAGCCCTGCGGAAGTAGAGTTGCACTAAAAAATACCCCGTATTGTTGTATGTAATTTAGCTGTGAAACATGTCCACTGGAGCATCCCTGCAGCGAGAAGTCGAATGATACCTTATGAATATTAGTTGAAGCACATGTTCAGGATTTTAAATAAGGGATTACAAATAAAATGGTGCACATTGGAAGGAGTAAAAGCTAACCAAAATTTTCTTTTAATCATGCTAGACATTCCACATGCATGCACAAACCAGACTATCCCTACACATTTTGCTTTGTTGGTTTTCATAAGTTATAAAAAATTTCCTTACAGATAAGAAAAATAAAGTTTTGCGAAGCAAGTGTATTGACTCTTACATTGACGTGTGATGTAACTTGCTTAAATTAAAATTATGTTGAGTTAATGATATAGAATGAAGTATTTTTGTTATTGTTGTAGATTCATTTTGAGGGGGTAGATATATTATAGTGCGGATTTTCTTTTTGAAAGTCATGCATGTTAGGAAATACTGTTTTTTGTCTGGATATCGTTTTGAATTAACCTTTTAGTTACTTCCATTTTTACTTATGTTTATTGTTTCTTCTTGTCCTCTTCACCTCCACATGATCTCTAATTATGCTTGTACTTCCCATGTTCGTCTTTTAGCTAATTTTGCTGTTTTATTTTGGCAGGTCCTTGTAAGGAATGTTCCTCCTGATCCCGATGAATCAGTTAGCCAGCATGTTGAACATTTCTTCTCTGTAAATCATCCTAATCACTATCTTACTCACCAGGTTGGCATCTATTTAAAATAAATCTTTTTCACTACTAATTTCTAAAATTGTGAATCTTTGTGCATAATTTTTCGGATGGTTTTACTTCTGATGTATTCCAACTTTTCTTTTCTAAATGATGGCAATTTAATTTAAAATAGTGTTGTTAAGGTTGCTAAATTGTGCTGAATTCCGTTAGAAACTGCAATATTAATTTCATGCAGGAATCGGTCTAAATCAACTGGCTTGTTACATTTCATTTTAAAGCGAATCTAAACATTTTAGGCCTGGTTTGCTGATATGACAATGTGGATATGATGATGTAGTCTATCCATATCAAACCCTAGGATTTATATAGATCAATCCAAAAACCTAGTAGTCACATACAACAACTAGGCTTAACAAGGGTTTATTCAAAAATATGGGGGCCATCTACATCAAATAGGCTTACCTGGGTTTAGGAAACTAATTCAAGCCTCCTTAAATATCCCCCTCATTTTTTTTACTATTTTTCCCACTTTCAATGAGTTTTATTATCTTTCAATGAAATTAAATGAATCATCTTAAATATTTCCAAAATATGTAAATTAATATAATAATGGAAAATACATTATGAACTCTATTAAGAGATCTAATTCATTTAAAAATATAAAAAATTTTGTTATTTTAAAGCAATTTCTATATTTCCAAAATTCGTTTCTCCTAAATTTTCAAAAAAGAAGAAACAAATCTACAATTTAGAAATATTTTGAGAATATTTCTCTATTTTGAAAAATATTCATGAGAGGGTATTTTATAGTTTTCAAATTGTTTACTTAGGTCATCTGGTCATCTTTATTAGGAGCATGCTTCACATCATTAATCCTACTACGTCACAATGATGCGACATGAATTGTAGATGCCTTATGACTAGGTTGGCCTAATAAGGTAACTGACGATGAGGAGTTTTTGCCATTAAATTTTATAGTATTAGAATTTTAATTGTCGTGAATTGATATAATCTCAGGAGCCTAAAGAGCTGTTGATTGTTATAGACCTGGATTCTTATATGGTAGCCGTTGGATTTCAACTATCTTGTATTCCTCATTATTGTTGATTGCTACTGTCCTACTTCATAGCATTTTGTTTCCCCTTTATGGATTGATCATATGAAAAGTATAAAGCCTGAAGGTGATTTGCATTGAAACTCGCAATTTTTTTATTGAATGTTAAAGAATTCTATGGAATTTCTTTTATTTGGTTTTTCACGGGATATAAAATAGGCAAGAATCAATTTGAGTTTGAAATTGAATATGAGCACGAAGTCACATCTTAATTAGAATTTTATTTTGACATTATGCCTAAAATTTGTAAATGAAGTTGAATATAGTTGTTGACCTTTGTACCGAACAAAAAAAAAATCAATCAAAAAATCAAATCGTCATACCTGCTCGCACGTCGTCGCCATCCCTCGCACGTTCGACGTCATTTCTTCCACGATGCTCTACTATAGGATGACGCCTCATCTCTTTGTTAAATACCGCTATCGCCTCTCTAGACGCGGCTTCTTTTCGCACATTCCTCCGCTCCCTCGTGGCTATTCGACTACGCACCTTCAACGACTTTCCCTGCCTGTTGGAGCAGAAGTTCCGACATTTGATCGGAAGCAACAGATGAGAGCTTCGCTCACTGCGGCGGTAACTTTCTCCCTTCCCATAGTTCCCCCGCCTCTTTCGTGGTTGTCCGAGTTCACTCTATCGATGGTATCACCTCCTATCGGTTCGAAAGTTTTGACATTTTGATTGGAGGCAAGAACGGGAGCACGCTACAATGAAGGTAACTTTCTCCTGTGCGCATGCTTCTTCGGTCGAATCCTGTAAACAAAGAGAGAGGGAGGGAGAGACCGGCCTACCTCCATTTTGCTGCTTGACTTCACTCCTGCGATGACATTCCCTTCCTTTAGGATAAGAAGTTACCTCATTTTGAGCGGAAGCAACAACGAGAGCTCACTGTGAAGGTAACTTACTCCCTTCCGCGCGCTACTTTAGCCAAATCCCATAGACCCACAGAGTTCTAAAGAGGGAAACAAAGGATTTTATGCTAAATCATGCTCTAATCCTATTAAATTCTACATAATCCTGATCATATCTTGCTAAAACTCTTTCATAATTAGGGTTGTGATTAAGTGTAATTAAGTATTATTAAAATAGTTAATTGTGATTAATTACCATTTATCACAATTAATGCCATTAATAATAATTAATTATTATTAGTAATATTTAAACCTAATTAATCATAATTATTTATTGATTATTACTAACTATGTCTAATTATTATTAGTTAACAAAGTTATAACTAAATATAATTGATTGATATTAATTATGATTAATTATAATATTATAATTAATTATAATTAACAAAATAGTTATAGTTAATTATAATTAGTTATGGTTAATTATAATCATTAGAAAGAGAAGGGGAATGCTTCCCTCTCCTTGTTCCACAAGCCTCCACCGCCAGTCCACCTACGTGAAGGTATAAGTTCTTAACTTAAATCCTATTCTCGACGTTAGCGACGAGCCAGAATCAAAACTATCCGGTCAAAATTCTCTAGAAAATAATCAAAATGTGCGCACTCGGCACCTCAGAAACATATCAAAAGTTACGCGGTAAAAACTGAACCAATCGGAAAATACGGACGAAATTCGCTAACGAAAACGAAATCCGGACAGAAAAATCGTTCAAACTTCACCGTACTGAAATTGAGAAAGGCGGAATGTGCCTTACCTTGCGTACACCAATTTCTTGAACTGTCTCGACGAATGAAAACGGCCCGACGTCTCCCAAAAATCAACTTTTCTTCTTTTTCCCTCGACCTTCTCTCTCCTCAAAAAGATAGTTTTATAATTTTTGATTTTCTCTCTCTTCAAAATGAGCTGATTTCAGCTAAATATCCTTCTGATCGGCCCGGCCGATCGCACGATCGTCCTGGACGATCTGACCAAAATCACATCGTCCTGGGACGATTTCTCAGGACGATAATTAATTTTCTTGGACGATAAAAATCCCTACTCTCTGACTTGTGCCATGCTCTGATCGTTCCGGGACGATCCCAGATCGGCCCAGACGATGCTTACAGGAAAACTTTCCTGTAACTTCTGTACAGATTCTGGAACAAAAAGTGAACTGATCGTCCCGGGACGATCCACGATCGGCCCGGACGATAAGAACAAAACTGCTGTTACAGGGAGGCTGCCAGATTTTTCAGTAAAAAAAAACAAGAGACTTGGCACCAAACAAACAGAACTTAACTTGAACTTGGTTGGACCAAAATAACTTAAGTGAATTCAAACTTAAAAGGATTGCTTGGTCTTGAACTCAATAAGATTATAAGAACTTGAACTTAATCGAACAAGGCTGCAGTGGACATGAACTCGAACCGAATTGAATATAGGGGACTCGTTGACATTGGACTGGAACTGAACCACATCGAGTGTAACTTGAATCATTACAAGGGACCTATGAACTTGCAAATTCAAACTTAACTTGAACTTGTACTTTGAACTTGAACTGTACAACACCAAGTGGAACTTGGACTTTAATGTAACATAGTGCATACGCACTGGACCTGTAAATGAAATTGAAATGAGAACTTGAACCTCAATGAACCATGTCTTGGATGTAAAATCAAACTCAAAACAAGCTTGAGCAAATAATGTTGAATTGGACTCGGATGCAAATAACAAATGGCTTGAACTCGGGTCCGATCACAAGAGACTTTAACAACATGAACTATAAAGAACATGGATGAAGTACACAGGACTTGGCTTTGGATGAATGAACAAAGTCTAAATGCATGGTCATCCAAGTGAATAAGTTGCAAGTGGAAAATAAAATCTCAATGCATGTGAAAGATGATCAAGGAAACCCAAATGATTTAGAATATGCAACCAAAGCAACAAAGCTTCTTACAAACATACACAATGCAACACATTTGAAGCATATGAGTCCCTGCGAGTTGTTGTGGGAAGCTTCTTATTTATGCAATAATTACCCTACAAGCAAGAGGGGTTCAATGTGCAATGGGCATGATGAGTTAAATACAATGTGCTTGCAAGCAACGTCGGGTAACTACAAATGCAAATACTACCCATATGCGATAATAAAGAACTTGCTATGCAAACGATAATCAATATAAGGAGAGAAATGGTGACACCATCGAGTGACGAACAAAACCTTGATGTAGAGGACTTATACAATTGTACCTACGAGGTCAAATGCACTGTACTTGCAAGGGCAAAAGATGGCTGTAAAATGCATATGTGTATCCTATATGCACTATTTGGATCTCCAACACAAGCAACAATGCTAGTTGGCTGAAGAAGGCGACACTGGAGATCAATAGCGAAGGACCCATCGCCGTAAATAAGTTGTGAATGGCAAAGGTGAACATGATTTAGATGTAATTGACTCCTATGACAATTCCTACAAGGTCAAATGCACTATACTTGCAAACAACAGAAACATGTTGCAGAGTTCATGTGTTACTACCATATGCACTAATATAATCTCCAATACAAGCAAGTGCCTGCAGATCGAGATGGCAACACTGTCAATTGATAGTGGAAGATTCGTCCTTGCAAAAGAGTACATCAAACCACTTGAGATTGATGAAAGGTGGATATGATGCTAGAACAATGGCTCTTCTACGAACTCTTCCAGGAGGTCGTAATGAATATAATGGGTACCTGTAAATAAACACAAGCTACTTGTGGATAACAATAGTGGGTATATTGTAAGTACAACAAACCCTTGTGGACACAAGTACATATATCACTTACAACAGCGGTGATTGAGGTTTGCGAGTACGTTGGATATGAAGACAACTCGATGTACGGAGAAGCGCACCTCCCGGTAGAATGGAAGAGATGTTCGAACATATTCGAATTAAACTTCCTAGTATTCCGAAATCTCTTCTTGGTCCTATACTTAGGAAGAAAACAGTTCTGACATCCACAAATATAAGAAATGACAAGTGTGTC